ATTCACCACTTCTAATGAAACCTAATGGAAGCCCAGCTGCGGACTGCTAATAGGGTTTGTTTGGAGAGTCACTGCAAGCAAAGCAATTAACCTAAACTTAGAACAGCTCCTGAACTGTTCAGATGAGGTAATTCCGATGGCAAGGCTTTGCTCCCTTAGCAAAAGCATCCTCAATGCGCAGGACAGTTCAAATTGAGAGTGGTAGACACGCGGCCTCTCAAAATTCTCCACCCTATCATCCAGTTTATCAGGAGGGAGGAGAAATTCTCCCAGCAGCTTCTTGTAGGAGGGGGGCTCACCATTTGTAGAAAAAGTAGGACTGCTCCATTCCCTTTTTTCTGTTTTTGCTGCCACAGCAAGCACTGCATAGGCAGCTGCCTTAAAGCGAGTCAAGATGTTCTGATCTTAGGATCTTCCTTGACAAACAGAATCATGGAATTGTGGAGTTGGAAGAGACCCCGAGAGTCATCTAGTCCAAACACCAGAAATGAAGGAATCTAACCAAAGCATCCATGACAGGAGCTGTCAGGTGGTGAAGTGGTTGCTCACGAGGAACCAGGCAGGACTCCAACCTGTCTTTTCCAGGTTTTTATTTGTGCAAACTATTTACAGTGCAGAACCACAAAATTCATGTCCATCTTAAGTCACTTGCAGATTCCGGGAGTGGCCCCTTCCGGTTTCTCCCTCAGCATAAGAACTTAGACACCCCAAATCTCCGCCTCCCCTCCTTACGTTTCACCCCTCTGCACAAACTGGATGACGGAAATGTAGGTGAGGTGCTTGGGCTCTCAGTAGCATCTTCGAGCCCTCCCCTTGCTCGGCTTCCCCCTTCCCCCTCTGCTCCACTGGAGGTGTGGCTTACCCCACCATTGGACAAGGAGCTGCTCCTCAGAAACGAGGCTCTCTATATCGCACTGCCTCCCTCTGCTGTTCCGAAGGCAGTTCCCTGACAGGAGCCATCCAACCATGTGTCTGATTTAGAAGCAAAAGGGCAAGGGAGATCTGTTCCAGTTAGGGGTGGAAGCTAATAATTCAGAGAGTAGTTCAAATCATAGTTGTTATGGCCAAGGCAATGTATGCCTTAGCACTGTCAAGTGGAAGAAAGGTTTTACAGAGCTTCGGAGCTCTCAAGAAGTACGTAGTGTAGGCACTTTTTGCATGTGGGTTCTCCTATCCTCCAAAGGAAACCCTGAGATGACCAAGTATCAATATGTCTGGCTGTGTAAATGGGATCACTTCCTTAGCAGACAATGCACTATATTAGCCTACTAGAAAGAAGCCCTGGCTACATATTGAACAATTCCATTTGTTGTGCTCCCCTAATGTGCCGTTTACCCATTTGGAAAAAGGCCAAGCGGGATTAACTGCCTAGCATGAGCTAGCGACAAAATGTGCAGTAAAGTATCCTCCAATCCAGAGATTTTGCCTATACCTGTACAATACAACACAACATATCCAGGTAGCTGCCCGTTCACTGCGATGAATATCCTGCATTATATGCAGGCCTGTTAGTGATCTTCTAGATGAGGAAGTTCTAGTATTTATTTACACCCAGCCATATCAATAAAATAATGTCAAAGCTGTTTCCCAAAATAGGTCAGGATCCCGCAAAACAGAGTCTGGAAACAGTTGCAACTAGGCTACTGTTTGCAAACTGGCAAAACGGATCGGTCTGCTTCCACTTCCCAGTTTAACAGTAGTAACAAGCAATATGGAGAACAATGTTATGATTCCTCTTTGACCTTTCAAGCAAGCATTTCAAAACTGGATGATGAAACTTTTGGGCCTTTAACTGAAATGCTCTACTAGTTCCACCAAAGTGGAGAAGCACCTTCACATATACTTTGCAAAAAAAACAAGAACCCCGGTTTCCTAAGAGACATGGAAAGAGCTGCAATGTGTGATCATAGCACACCGGCTATATTGCTTTAATAACTGGCTTGTCAATCGAAAGCAGTCTTCTAATGCACAAGCAATATGATTTGGTGAACTGAAAATTAAATTCTGATTGACCAAGCCATTCCCCCACCCCCATCAAACTCTGAAGGTGGTCTTAAAAAATGTATAACCTGATTGTATTACTGCACACACCACTCCCATTTTGAGCAAAAACAGCTCTCCTGGGGCAGAGAGACTGTGCCAAATGGAAGGCATAGCCTTTCTTTGCAGGTTTACATAAATCTAATTTAAAATCTGTTCATTAATTTATTTTTGTAGGGCTGCTAGGCACTTTGCAACAACGCTGCAAATAGGATGATTTACTACTCGTTTAGGTGCTCTTGTTCTTTTAACAAAATCAACTCCACCCTTCCTTTTTCCCATGCCATTGAGAACACCCACTGTCCTTCAGTGTGACCAGCTCTTGACTGACTAACCATCCAAAATAGTGAAGTCTTCTTCATCCGCAATTCCTGCCCCTCGTACATTGAACCTCGCGTGCAACCTTCTTATTTACCTTCTGGCATTCCTTAGCTTTTCTTAGGTAAAGGTAAAGGGACCCTTGACCATTAGGTCCAGTCGTGACTGACTCTGGGGTTGCAGCGCTCATCTCACTTTACTGGCCGAGGGAGCCGGTGTACAGCTTCCGGGTCATGTGGCCAGCATGACTAAGCCACTTCTGGCGAACCAGAGCAGCACACGGAAACGCCGTTTACCTTCCCGCTGGAGCGGTACCTATTTATCTACTTTCACTTTGAGGTGCTTTCGAACTGCTAGGTTGGCAGGAGCTGGGACAGAGCAACGGGAGCTCACCCCGTCTCAGGGATTCGAACTGCCGACCTTCTGATCAGCAAGTCCTAGGCTCTGTTGTTTAACCCACAGCACCACCTGCGTCCCCTAGCCTTTCTTAGCATGTGCCTTTTAACTTGTTTATAAATGTTCTGGAGCTTGGAGAAAGCAGTGAACTGGCTAAGTTTGAATTATGACACCAAATTATTTGGGGTGAGAGAAGATGGCAAAGAGCTCCAAAATGAATGCCCCAAACTGGGTGAATGGGCAGATGCGGTTCAATAAAAATAAGTGTAAAGTGATGTACACTGATTCCAAAAAAATCTTAACTGATGCACAGCATACACTGATAGGTTATAAACCAGCGGCAAATGGCCAGGAATGGGCTCTGGGTGGAAAGTTCAATGAAACATTGAACGGTGCCAGTGGGCAGCTACTGCGAAAAATGTGAATTTCATGTTGGGGATCATTTAGGAAAGGTTTGAAAATATTCTATTTTGTGTGCTCACTTTGGCAGCACATATATTAAAATTGGAATGATACAGATAATATTAGCATGGCCCCTGTGCAAGGATGACACGCAAATTCGTGAAGCGTTCCATATTTTTGCCAGAAGCCTTTTTGCTGGGTATTTCAGGTCAAGAATTGCCAAAAGAAAAAACGGAAAATATTTATGTACGCTACAACAGCAGCAAGAGTTTTGCTAGCCCAAGGCTGGAAGACAGGAGAAGTACCAACGAAAGAAGAATGGCAAGAAAAATTGATGAACTACACTGAATTAGCAAAGTTAACAGACAAATTACATGAAAAGGACAATAGTGACTTTAAAAAAGAATGGGAACCTTTCACAACTTACCTACAGAAACAACAAAAAGAGATGGACTCACTGGCAGGTTTTGAATAAACATTCACAACTTTATGTACGGTAAGTAGAAAGAAAGACAGTACAACAACATGTATGAAGATAACACGCAGAAGATAACAAGTAATGTAACAGGCACCTAAAAATTATCAGGGGGCTGGAGCAACTCCCCACAAAATATTTAAAATTATGCACAATATGGAGAGAAAACAGATTTATTTTTTCTCCCTCTTATGTAATATTAGGCGATGGAATAATCTAGGATGGTCAAAGCAAAGTAGTTGTTCCCATCCATAGGGCGGTATTCATCACCTTTATAGCTTGACATATGCTACTAAAACAGACACAGACGCAGATACGGTGGCAGAGCTCATCGCTATGAATTTACACAAGTCTTGGATGCACAAGAATCTCGCTCTCTCTTTCCCCTCACTTTCTCATCTTTCCTCCTCACTTTGCAGCAATTTTTAAATGGTTAAGTCTCAGGTTGCTTTGTTCTATTCTGTACATGTTCCATGTAAAAAAATTCTTTTTTCAGCAGACGATCAAATGCTTTGGAGCAAATACACTAATTCTTGTTGGTCTCCATGGCAAAAGGGGGGAAAGTTCTACCTCTTCTTTTTCACAACAGAATGACGCTCCGGGGATAATGATGCTGAAATTTAGTGTTGTGCACCTTTAAAGGTGTTTGATGCTGAGCATTGCAGTTGACCTTAGAGAGAAAGAGAGAAGCTGCTTCCACTTAAGGATAGAGTACAGTATATATTACTGATATAAAAGGAAAGCACAGTTTCTGTGGTAGTGTGAGGCACTATAAAGATTTTATTACTGTAAGTTTGAGGTGGCTGTATTGCTCCCAGGTCTACTGAGCCAGGAGTGAGTTATGTAGCTCTTCCTAAAAGAGTGCCAATAAAAAATTTACAGTGCTGCTGGACTGTCATGTAGTTGGGCTTCTGTGGGTCGTGGCTTCAGCCCCCTGTTTTACTCTGAATATTTAGTTTCGCAGAACTGGAGCGGGAAAGCAAAGTATTACTTGTCTGCTCTTACCAGTAGCAAGTTATCCCCGCCCCCCGCAAACCCCTATCCTCATCACTGCAGAATGAATTTAAGACTGCGCTCAAGTTCTCAGCAGAGAACTATCAAAGTAAAATAAGGGTATGGTGCCTATGGGGGGAGGAAGGATGCTCTGAAATGACCTGCTCTGGTTCACCTTTCCCACCACCACCCGTTAGACAGCTGCCCTACTCAAAGAGGCTCCTAGCCACTGGTGGCTTCCATTGCTTTTACCCAGGGGTCCCTTGAGCCAAGGCTGGAAGCACTGCCCACCTTCCAGCAGACAATTTGTCAAATTGTAAAGTTGGAAGGGTCTACAGGGGTCATCTAGCCCAACCCCTGCAATGCAGGAATATTTTGACCAGCTTGGGGCTCAAACCCATGACCTTGAGACTACGAGTCTCATGCTCTACCAACTGAACTATCGTAGCTCACTCAAGGGAAGGCATGGATATCTATCCAGATGTTGGGCTCCATCTCATCAGCCCCAGCCAGCATGGCCAATGGTCGGGGGTGATGGGAATTTTAATTCAACAAGATCTAACTGTAGGTTAGACCATCCCCTACAATGCTCTCCAGATATTGTTGGACTGTGACTCCTCGTCATCCCTGAACACGATACGATAATCTTTATTGTCATTGTCCCATACAGAACAACAAAATTGAAAAAATCTACATCAGACATTCAAAAACCAACAAGCCTGCTATCCCAGCTATCCTAGCTTGGTTAGCCCCCTAAAAACTCTGGTACCCCATAATTAAATACAATATACTTCCATAGAGACTGGGTTTAAGCTGGCCACCTGGGAAGTTAAGGAGGAAGAACGCTACTCTAGAGCAGGGGTCGGCAACCTGCGGACCATGAGCCACAAGCAGCCCATGGGGGCAGTTTAACCGGCCCACGAGCTACCCCCAAACCGAGCTGCCTGCTCCATGAGTCCCCACACGCTGCACTAAACAGACACAGCATGGGAACTCGCTTCCACGACGCTGGAAATCACGTCTGTGCATGCCCAGATGCCGGAAATCGCACGCGTGATCCAGCCCACAGAGAGATCTCCGTGGGACTTGACCGGCCCAGGCAGGTAAAACCTTGCCCACCCCTGCTCTAGAGGACTTCCAGGTAAAGACAAAAACATGAAAGCCACCGGCTGGCAAAACTGCATGCAATAATAATATTATAATAATTTATTATTTATATCCCGCCCATCTGGCTGACTTTCCCCAGCCACTCTGGGCGGCTCCCGAATCGAGTGTTAAAAACAATACAGCATTAAGTATTAAAAACTTCCCTAAACAGGGTTGCCTTCAGATGTCTTTTAAAGATAAGATAGCTGCTTATTTCCTTCACATCTGAAGGGAGGGCGTTCCACAGGGTGGGCGCCACTACCGAGAAGGCCCTCAGTGCTGGATCTCAGCATCCGGGCAGAACGATGGGGGTGGAGACGCTCCTTCAGGTATACAGGACCGAGGCTGTTTAGGGCTTTAAAGGTCAGCACCAACAATGCCACCACCACTGGCCAGTTTCTGCCCTCTCCCTTTTCCTTTCTCAAAAATCACTGAAATGACCCCTTTGCTTGGAGACATGAAACCAGGGCTGGGGCAGGTTTTCGTTCAGCCCTATAAAGTCACATCCTGTTTATGAGTTCTGGTTTACCCTGAGTGAGCTTCAGGTGAAACCACCTCCTCTTAAAGGGCACAGTATCTTAGTCATTATTGGGAAGATTTTGTTTTTAAGGGAGGAGGGGTTATGCACACAGCAGAGGACTCTTACCCACACCGATGTAAAGGCAGTTCCATTGCAGCCCCTGCTCAGTAGGGCCTGAGAACAACCCATCGAGAAGCGAAAAGCTCAAGGAGAAGATAATGAGCATAATTATAGTTAGTTATTGTTTGGTCCCCTTACAGACCCATTTTGTAACACTTCTGCCAGCAGAGCTATTTTATGCAACGCCTTTTTCGCATGGCAATCTTTTCATAAATCAAAGCAAAAGCCAATAGCTGGCAGTATCTCCTGCAGCCTGTTTGACAATAGAAGTTAACATGGAGCCCTGCCTGTTATCAATCTTCATAAATGCGCCCCCGCAATGGAAAAAGCTCCTGTCACAGTTCGTGAGCCCTTCGCTAATAATGCAAGCAGAAGAGTGAGCCTGGGGCTTTAATGGGTCTTCAAAATTACATGTGTGTGTGCATTTTAGTTGGGGATTTAGGTGTCTTCGGGGGTTTTAGCCATAACAAATGCCTGCATCCTCCCTTCTTTCAGAAGGGAAAGACACCCATGCTTCTTTTTCTTTCATTGTGTTCAACTGCAATGGAATTCACATATGGGTTTCCCTCCGTCCTAGTCCACAGAGCAAAGATGCAAGGTGGCTACCCTCAAATTTGGAACTTCATTTATTCAGGGATTTAAAAAGTCTAATTCTATATGTGCAATTCGCAAAGTAAGCCTTTTATGTACAGGAAAGCAAGTTATGGTAAGGAATGAGCAATGGTTTCTTTTGTGGCTGATTTTTAAAGGTTTTTTTGTTGTTGTCTATGGCTGTGGAAAGATTCCCTCCAAAAACTTTTGAGTCAAAGGAAGGAATTCAGCAGAGTAGTGAAAAGTGTTATCTTGTTCACAAGCTGCGTCATTCCTTTATCTACAGCTAGGGTTGATGGGAGTTGTAGTCCAAAAACAGTTGGAGGCACAAGTTTGGGAAACCCTGATCTACTGCTTCAGCAAGTTCTCTTACAAAAAAAGAAAAAGAAAAAAGTGAAAAGGAAGATAGGAGCCATTTCCTGTAGTATCCCAGCCAATCCCACCTTAGTCAGGCAGCGGCAAGGTGATGACATCACACAGCTCTATTTGGTTCGATGATGACATCATGAGGGCAGGAAACTTTGCTTGAATAGTGTTGCCAGGAAGCCAAATCAAAGTGAAGGCAATCAGATTTGGCTTTATGTGGTGACATCAGCAAGCCAAATAGGGTGAGGTAAAATTCCCTGCCCTTGCTCTGAATGGGCTTTTTCAATTTTTCCTGTGAAACCACCCCCAAACAGCCAAAACTATGGATGCAGATATCTGCACCATGAGGTAAACTTTTCTGCAAAACAATCTGCTTAGCCCTTGTTTTGGTCATGTCTTTCGGAATGTCACCTGCCCCGAATCTTAAGAGACTTAAAATCCTCCCCTTCTCCCACTCAAAAAAAATAAAATACGCAGTTGTAAAAATAAAAAAATAAAAAATACAAATGGGTGAGAGGGAGGAGATATGGCAGTCATGGTCAGATAATAATAATAATAATAATAATAATAATAATAATAATAATAATAAATTTTATTTATACCCCATCCTCTCCAGTCAAGACCGGGCTCAGGGCTGCTAACACCAAATATAAAAACAATTGATAAGCTAAGCTTATCGATAAGGATCCTGTCACTTCTGTTTGATTCACTCCTTTTTAGCATGTATCTACACGAAAGAGGTTTGGTCTCCAACAAAAGAACAAATAAACCACATCTGACTCAGATGTCATACATCAAGCCTAAGAAGGCCCATAAATCTTGCTTAATCATTACAGAGGAGGAGGCTGATTTATACGGAGGTTTTCACAGAGCGGCGCAACCTGCGGCTCCAGGGTCAGGAGGGGCCTTGACAGCTTTTGTATTTAAACTCTACAAGGTCTAAGGGCAAGAACACATCTTGCTTGTCTATGCATTGTATGAATGAAAACTTTCACGGCCGTTCGATTATTTTTTTTTTTTTAATGTCACCTAGAAACAGCCAATATCATCATAAAACCACCTCCACATCCTCAAGTCTCATCACTTGGTAACTCCCAGATATGCTAAACATAGGCTGGAGGCCAGGGGTAACTCAGATGTTACAAAATTGTAAATGCGAACCAAACCCCCAAAGCGACCGTCCTTCAACAACCAGATTACCAAAGAAAGAGGACCAACTGCAAGAGCGTGTTGCTTCATCAGCTTAAATTAAGCATTGTGAGCTCCCTTTGCATCAGTGGGAGAATTAAGTACATATTTAAGCCTCATTAACACAGGTGGTTTTTTATGGAAGAAGCTGCACACTAGAACGATAGAAATGCAGAATTGGAAGGAACTACGAGAGTCATCATTTAGGTATAAGAACTAAGCGGTGATGTGATCCTCGCGAGGACGCTCTCTCTAAATTCCTGCGTTTCATCTGAAATAGGCTCCTCCGTCTACGTTTACGCCTTTCGCTCTTTAGTGGACGCTTTCATTCAAGATGGCAGGCAGATGGGGAGGGGAATCCAGAGAAACAGACAAAGGGGCAAAAGAGGAAGAGTTTACGCTGCCATAATGAAAGGTTTCTGTGGCTTCAGTTACAGATCCTTCGCAAGACAGCAATTGTGATCACAAACACAGGGAAATCTGACACTCATCGCTTCTGCACGTTCTCTCATTTTGCTTTCAGCACGGGGAGAACAAGGTTCAGTTAACCTTTCCCATCCACTACCACAAAATAGATGTTCAGACAGTAACTACAGCTAGTTAGCATCAGGTTCAATAGGAAGAATCTTAGTTTTCATGAACCACCCCCTCTGAAAAATTAACGAGATGGATCCAGTTTCTTATGAAATGAAACATGCCTTTTAGAAATCAGAGTTTGCCATGCACTGAAGCGATATTTTTTGAAAGGACAACACTCTTTGTGGTAGATTAATTTTGCACACCATCTCAAGACTGCTTGGGTGAGGCATTATATACAACCACCCACACCTCCAAAACAACAACTTTGGAGTTGTTTGTTGTAAAGAATGTACATTATGGGAATAAAATAATAAATATATCTACACACACACACACACACACACACACACACACCCTGGTAATAAAGAAATAAAATAAAGAGAGGATTGCTGGAACTCATGCCCCATGCCCTCAGAGTAGTATGTTATATTAGGTACATCTAAAAAAAATGTAGTGTAAACACTGACAACTCGGAAACACTAGACTGCGAGCGCTCCAGTTGGAGAACAGCTTTTACCAAAGGTGTCATGGACTTTGAAGGCACTCAAACTCAGGATGCAAGGGAGAAACGTGCTAAGAGGAAGGCATGCTTGGCAAATCCACACCGTGATCAGCTCCCGCCCAGAAACCAATGTCCCCACTGTGGAAGGAAGTGTGGATCCAGAATCAGCCTCCACAGTCACTTACGGACTCACTGTTAAGACCGTGTTTATGGAAGACAAAGTTATTCAGGTACAAAGAAGAAGATGATTAGGTAAAAGGATGACCAGGCTCCCAACCAGCCGAGCAGTAATGAAATAATGGGAGACCTGGGACTCCGAATGAAGTGGAAATCTGAAACAGCAAGGAAGCCTGACACTGAAGTTGCCAAAGAGAAATAAAGCAGAACTGGTGCCTCCAAAGCTTTGGGCTGCTCCAGAGGCAGTGCTGCCCTTTTCTT